ACAACAAATCCCAAACTGCCTGTGGCACTGGTTATTACATTTTGAAATGCTGTACACTATCAGTTTGGACTGTTTCTCCATAAATTTTTTTTGGTAGAATTTGCTTTTAAAAGGTAACCCATTTATCAGAGTAACTTGTTGTTGAAGTCATTAGCTTGACCTTATCATGAAAGCAGGAAGTTCCTTTAGCAAAGAAATTACAACTCCTAAGATCTGTACATAAGAGTGGATATTTACAGCTGAACAGTAAGCTTTAGTCAGCTTTCACTCATCCTTCTTTAGAAGCTCTGCCTGATTTTAACAGACTTTGTGCTGTAATCAAAAACCAAAATGGTCTGAGCTGAACATGACTCTATGTTTTCGAGACACCAATGCATTTCCCCATAAGAGAATTTCCAAGATGTAAGCACTTAGAAGAAAAAAAGTTGATCTAAATCAAATATATGATTGAAACTGATTGCTGCCTTAATAACAGAGAAGGTTGTTCACTCTCAGAGCAGCTCTAAGACTAAAATAAGTCAAAAATCAGAAACCAAAGCATTCTGCTAGAAGAGCCAAAGGGAGACTTTATCTGTCTTGTATCTAAGCTGTGAAAAGGAATTTATATTTTTCCTCATAAGTAGAGAGACAAACAAATGTTACTTGAACTAGCAATTAACAGTATCATCATGAAGAATTCCAACAAATATTAAGGAATCGCACAGAGCACTAAATTACTAAAATAGCTGAAATGGCTAATTAAAGATTATATAATTTCAGAAAACATCTGATGCATGTGAAGTTAACTGTGCTGTGCAGAATATTTAAAGATATAGCAAAAGACTGCTTTGCAGGAAGGGTGAGGCAAAAATACAAATACCTAAATTTTTAGAGCAGATTTTTTAATTAAAAGTATTTCCATTTGACTGGCATCAGCTTTTGCAGATACATTTTTCTCTTTGTAATGAAGTCTCAAATATTTCAGGCTAAGCAAGCCAGACAGGAAAGTCTAAAATAAGATTTTACTGTGCAAAAGTGGTTGACTCTCTAACACTGAAACTCATTTTCCTTTTCATTTATTTTGTTAGAAGGAGTTTCAGTAATTGTTCCTATTTTCTGACTGTGAATATGTTCCTAGAATGGCCTTATAAAACAAAGAGGAACAAGAACTGTACACAATGGTGCATCTAGAAACTTTATCCCTTCCTGTCCCCCGCCACAGTGCTTCTCGTTTTGTTATTCTATCGTAGAGTGTCATATGGGAAGGACTGGTATTGTTAAGCACCTGAATATCTTACAGTGTCATTCAAATAAACAAAGTTTACAGGAAACCTCTAGTGTTTGTTACTTCATTCTGACAGACTGAGGAATCTCTGTAGGGCTGAGATGCCTTTGTGATTATTTTTGTGCCCAAGAACTATAAGCATTTATGGGACCATAAAAACTTAATCAGAAGTAGAAAATCAGAAGTTGTTCATGGTATGCCAAGCTACTCTCCTGGAATTACTTAAATCACCACACCCTCCTGCATTCTGTCTGACAGGCTTCGGTCTTTTCTTCGGAAAGAATTTCCTTGTGGAAGTGAATTACTTAAATCACCACACCCTCCTGCATTCTGTCTGACAGGCTTCGGTGGAAAGAATTTCCTTGTGGAAGCATCACTTCTTGTTCTCTTACATTAAAATATTTTAAACAGTAGGTATGTAAGTCATGTTTATTGAAAACTGTCCAATTCACATGAAATTTTACAGATTCACTACTTTCAGTACATCAGCTCCTGTGTATCACTCACCAGCCTTCTTTTTCACAGCATCATTTACCTTTCAGGACCAACTGCATTGTCATTGTGTCGATGTGATGCAGAACGCTACCTGTCGCCAGACAATGCTTCACCTTCCCACACCCAGTATTCGCACACAGGCAGGAAGTTCTCTGAAAACACCTGTAATATAACCTTCTTTCAAAGAAAAGAAAAGAAAAGAGGCAAAACAGAAGACCTAGTTTTACTGCAGTGACAGCCCTTACCATACATTTATACAGCAGACATCAAAGACAAGCCACATTTCCTCTGTCAGAAATCCCTTATTTTCCTGTTACTTTCTTCTCAAGCAACATTTGTACACTTCACTTTTAATTGCAAACTTCGATTTTCAGCTCTGTGGGGCAGGACACCTTTTGTTCTTCCATGTAACCAATCTCCGCCACCAAGGGAGGGTTTCAACACAGGGACTATTATTTTGTAACTGTTTTCAAGATGTATTTCTGTGATGCTGTGTTCCCCAACACACACCTTCCTGAATAAGAGCACAAGTCAGTCTTCCCAAAGCACCACATTTCTCCACTGAAAACTTGTGAAAGACATAACTGTGTAACTTAATGCCATAGGTGCAAACTATTTATGATAATACTGTGATACACAGTATAGATGTATCTTTGACAGATGAACTCCTAAGAGTCATACAGGAAAGAATATTTTTGCTATTTTTTGGGCATTGCAAGAATAAATACACTCACAAAAGAACAGAATTTACCAGAAAAATAAAACATTGTGTTTTAAATCCAACCAACATTTATGCTGTGAAATCATGAGTTTGTTTCTTTTGTTAATTGGAAACAAGGAGTTCGTTCAGTAGGTCAATTCACTGCTGCCAGTATTTCATCAAAGTGACAGTAATGGCATCTCCACAGATTTATACACATGCACCAGAATAATTTCTTGTGATTAGACTGATTCAGAATTAGGTATCAGCCTTTTCTAAAGCAGCTCTTTTGTGGCTTCATTTGAGAATGTTTAGGTTAAGATTTCCAAAGATTTCTCTGTGTAGATATGTATCTTAATTAAAGAAAATCAGGTAAAGTGAGCTGAGTCTTCATATACATATGTATATATGTATAGTGTAATGCAGACTGTACTGAGCCTAGTGACACTGCACTCCTATGATGTTATTCACACACACATATAATTTGCAGGTTTAGATGTAAGAAACTGATTCAGCATTAATTGGGAAAAGTTTGGCGGTTTTTTCCCCTTTCTGAAAGCAGCTCTTTTTTGCTTTACCACAAGAACATTATGCTATTGCTTCTGCAGATGCTACCCCAATTGTAATTGCCTGTCATGCAGTGAAGCAATCTAATTAAAACCACTTATTTGCACCTATTAACCGGTCTCTTTAAATTCAGACAAAAGACCTTACCACAAGATAAAACATAAGTACAGAGTGTGGTCTGCAATTTAAGGTAAGAGAAACAACATGTGTTTTCAGATAATTACACTTACCTCTATTTTCCTGCTATTACCAATTAGCATTAACCATGAACTTAAATGGCTATGTAAATCACTACACCTGGCCACTAATCCAGACACAGACTGCTAGTAAGACATTGGATAATGCATTTAATCTTTTACGTGCTTAAAATGGTGACATTTTTTGTGGTGAGGGCAAATTTCTGATTGTATTGTGGTTTAGAGGTGCAACATACAAAAATGATAAAAACTGTTTGATAAACTGCAAGAAATAACTTGCAGTCTGATCCCAAGAAACACAGGGATCTTGAGCAGTTTTATAGATAAGACCAGATTATTCCTTTGCAACCTCCTTCACCACAAAAATATTAATTGCCTTTTAGAACAATTAATATTTCAGATATTTCATAGGGAAAGAAAAATTCTACAGAAAGCTCTAATGTAAATAGCAGGCAGGGCACTAAACCAGAATGGCTTAATAAGTAGCCTACTGCATAAGCTCATCTGGTAGAGTTCTCTGCACTTCCCTAATGCCTTCACTGAAGTGCTTTGTTTCACACTGGGTAATGTTGACTGGACCAGTGGAAGAGTTGTGCTGCACACCAATTCACTACTATGGCCACCACATCACTTCTTGCTTTCTTAAAGGAAACAGCGCTGCTAGATTGAACCCACTGATGAACGGGTGCTTTTATTGCTTTTATTGTGTTCTGTATTTAAGAATTAGGCCAATAATAAAATAAAACCTGTATCTTACAGCATCATAGACAGACTTCCTTAAGTTCATGGGTGGCTTTAAGAACACAGTTTCTTTATCCATTTTTTGAGCCACTTCTTCAGGGTTCCAGGTCACCCTGAAGAACATGCCCAGGGTTTATCCATCACTCATCCAGCTCTGCCTACGCCGCTGCTGAGCGCCCATGTGCCCGTCTGGGCGAAGGGCCGATGGTCCGGAGCCGGGCGTGGGCCGAGCTCTTCATTACCTCCACAGTTACCTGCACCCACACGGTCTGGGCTACCCTCAGCGACGGACACCACCTCAGGGGCCACCTGGGCCACTGGGAACCGACCCAGCCAGCACCGTGCTCCTGCCCGGCTGTCCCTGCCCGGCTGTCCCTGCAGGGACAACTCCTGCCCGGCTGTCCCTGCCCGCCCACCCCGCGCAGGGAAGTGCCACTTCCCATGAGGTGCCCGCATCCATCACCCAGCCGCGCCCTCAGCGCTCACCCCGCACACCTGGGCGCGGGTCAGCGCTCCGAATCACAGCGTCAAGCAGGAAGAGACTCCGCGATTATCGAGTGGAGTTCGATCTACGAGCGAACGCCACCATGTCAACCAGACCGGCACTGAGTGGTCTTTCCTTTAACGCCTCCAGGGATGGTGACTCCACCACGGCCCTGGGCAGCCCGTTCCAATGTCTCGTCCTGAGAAGAATGTCGCAGCAGAATGTCCCCCAGCGCAGGCTGGGACCGGCGAGGCAGCGCCGGGCCCTGCGCGGTACCTGCGCGGTGCGCGCAGCTCCCACCCACCCTCAACGCGGAGCGGCGGCCGCGGCACCGCCTCGTCCCGCCCAGCCCGCCGGGGGGCGGGGATTGGGCGAGCCCACCCGTCACTCCGCTGCGGCTCCGGGTAGCGATTGGTCGCCGGCGCTGTCAGTCATCGGCGGGACCGCGCCCGCCCCTTGTTGTCACGGCGCCGTGCGGGGCTGGGGCCGCTCGCGCCGCTGTTGTTGCCGCCGCCGCGGGAGCCCGGGCGGGGAGCGGCTCCCGGCCTCGCCATGGCCACCAGCACCACGGGCTCCACGCTGCTGCAGCCCCTCAGCAACGCCGTGCGCCTGCCCGTCGACCAGGTGAGGATGGGGAGGCGCCCGCCCCGCCGCCGCTCCCGCGGGCTCGCCGGGG